CATTTCCCTATTATTGGTTTGTTTTTCTTGTGGAGCAAAAAATAATGTAAAATTTCATATTAAATTTGTCATGCTGTTTAAACTGTCCATTAAAGAAATTGATGTCTTTTAGCAACATTCATTCTGTTAATGTTTCAAAATGCCTTGATCAGACAGCAAAATGATACTTCTGACCACAAAGTCCTATGCATAATTACATTTTACAGAAGACCCAAATTAAACAAAAATTTTGTTTGAAATGCTCACAGATTTTTCTTGATGGGTCGATGGAATTCTGATGGCCAATAAAAATAATTCTCACCAACTGCCTTCTTCCACCTAATTCAATTACTTTTTGTACATATGTAACTCTAGCCATGAAGAGTTATTTTTCAGATGTTGTTTTGATGGAAGAAGCTATATGGAACAAAGGTACAACCTAAAATATTTGGAGTGGGTTGCATCTGAAAGGTGTGGTCATTCCCTGACCATTTGGACAATCACCTGTGGGCAAAACAAGAAACCAAAATTGAGTGGAACTACGCAAGGAAGTTTGAGAACCTGGAATCTCTCTTGCTGGGCATCAATCATATGGTGGTGAGGAGAGGTAGCTTCTGCCTGGTGGGTGGTAAGGTACCACCTGCCACAGGGAGGTAGAATGGTAGTAGGAAAAGGAAGAGGCCAGGTCAGGAATCTCTGAAGTTGGACCAAACTTAGGGATCTCAGAGAGTGAAGTAGGGTCTATAAACAAGAAAGCCAAAGCAGGATCAGAAAGCTACACCATGGCCTTGTTTTTAATGACACTTGCTTGTTTGCCTCCTTTCATGTCTTTTTGATCTTCCCTTGGTTGCAGTATAAAGATATTGTGAAAGTTCCACCTCCTTGTGGCTATGAACCAAGTAAAAGGATATGTGTCCTTGCATGATCCAGAGCTTTAAATGGAAACAGTGTACTCCTGTGTATACTCCAGTGTCATCACGATAGCAAGACACCAGGAGAGAGATGTCAAGTGGGAGGAGGAATCCAGGAAGAAGGAGTAGGGGCCAATTGATTAGCTGTTACTTCTCACCAGGAAATGTTTCCCAAGGTTAAAACCTAGGGTAGGAGTAGATTTTGTCTTAACAAGAGAGGATGTCTGTGTATGCTAGTGTTTTTCTTCAGCGTATGAGGGTGCGTTTGTCATGTTCACAGGAGAGGGGCATCAATGTGACATGAGGCTACAAAGAAGATCTTGGCAAAGAATAATGACTGCAGTCCTCTCCACCACACCCTCATGGAGGAAGGAGGCAGCTGACTGTGGCATTGATAAAGAACCCCATAAGCCACATTTTGAACACCTCTGTCTCAATTACGCATCATGAACATCTGCCTCCCTAGAGACCTCAAGCCCCACGTTACATGTTTAGAGTCAACTGTGATCTGTTAGGTGATTGATTTGGATTGAAACATAAGGGCAGGACTGAAAGCTAAGCATTCAGAAATACATATCAGATGGATGGATGAGGGGTGAAAGAAACATCTGGAGGGAGGATATGAAGGGTAAGGAGAGAGAAAGCAGATGCATGAGTGGGGGAGAAGGCTAGAGGTATATAGAAAATGACAATTAAAATAATGAGACATCATGTAGAAGGTAGGACTGAAATCAAAACTACTAAGCATTAAGCAAGAGCTCGCCTCCTGAGTCATCTCATTTAATCCTCACAATGTCTAGCACAGTGACTAACATATATAGTGTTGTTGTTGTGTGCCTTTGAGTCAATTCCCACTCACAGTGATCTACATGATAGAGTAAAACTGCCCCAATGTGTCTCCTAGGCTGTAATCTTTATGGGAGCAGACCACCATGTTTTTTCTCCTGTGGAGCCGCTGGAAGCTTGGAACCACCAACCTTCAGTTAACACTTGAGGGCTGCCCCCAGGGCTCCTTAGCATATATAATAGGGGCTCAAAAATATATTGAATATTTAATATTAAATCAATAAATGGGTGAACAATCCTAAGAGGTATCTATTATTAATTGCATTTTACAGATAAGAACCCGAAGCTCAGAAAGGTGAAGACACTTGCCCAACGTGCTACCGCTAGTAAGAGGCAGAAGGAATCTGACTTCAAAATGAGGAGGGTGAGCCATAAAGGCCCTATAGGGAATTAGAAAAGGGTGTGGTGCTTGAGTGTCGCCCAGGGACTGAGAGAAAGGAGGGAAGTATGGAGGGCGAAGTGAACTGGACTAGGGAGGATGGTGACCCTGTAGGAAGGTAGCAGGGTCATGGGAGACAGTCGAAGCAGCAAATGGGTAGCTTCCAGACTAATGCAGCAGGTGATTTGGGTGGGACAGGATGGAAACTGCAAACGGTCTGTGTTAGGCAGCAGGGATCTCAGGTGGGGCAGGATGGGGAAAAGGTGGCAAAGGTGGTGAGACGAAAGATCTGGACAGGCTTGGATGGATAATACCAACAGCTTCCACCCAGAAATAAATAGAAGAGAAGCCTGTGCTGCCGGGATGCCTCGGGTGGGGCTGGGGAGAGGGCGTGGTCTAGGATGGGAAAGGAGGCTGATTGTGAGGCTTGGGATGGGGAGAATGAGTCCTGGGCGGTCCTAGGGAGAGAGAAATGGTGACTTAGGCCTGTCTCATGAATTGCGGCCCGCACCTCACCTGTAGGAACTGCTCACCGCACTCGCCACCTCCTCGCGGATTTGCCTGTTGAGGGCGTCTGCAGCTGCACGCCCCTTGCCACCCTCTGGGCCCGCTGCCTGGACCTGGCCCACTGGCAGTGGTGTCTGCTCTAGCCCTAGCCCCTCCGCGCGACGCAACATCCAGGCGGGCCCGGCCTTCTTTCGTGTGTCGCGCTCGTCCGCACCCGACGCCTTTCCGGCTGCAAGGACGCCTGCTCCGACAGGGGCCACCTCCTGCTCTGGGGCCTCAGCGGCCGCTTGCGCTGGCCAGCGCTCCTGGCTTTTCGGCCTGCGCTTGGGCGCCCCGAGGATGGGCGCTGGGGCCTGGGATGACGTGGAGATCTGCACGGGTTTGGGGATCCACGGGTGGTCCCCGCGGCGCGGCAGTGGCCAGGCGCGGAAGTCCTTCTGGTACTGGGTCTCGCGCTCGAAGGGCGCGTCAGATGGCTGGTACTCGCTGCGCGGCCGGCAGCTCGGCTCCGGCCGCTGCACCTTCCAAGCGCGGTAGTCCTGGCGCATCACCGAGTCCGCTGGGCCCGCGCCAGAGGAGGAGGCCGGGCCCGAGCCGCTCCGGCCCAGGGCCGCTGCAGCCGCCTCACGATCGCCGCTCGGCCCCGGCGCCGGCCCTGTTGCCCGGGCAACTGCATCCAACTCTCCCTGGGCTGGCTGCGTCTCTATGGCGACCGCACGAGCCGAGGGGGGCACGAGTGTTGGCTGCGCTTGCTGCTGTTGAGACGGCGGCGGCTGAGGCTGCGGCGGGGCGCCCGGGTGCTCTGTGGCCTCCGAGTACTTGGTGAAAACCAGCGGCACGGCTATGTCTGCCTTGTCCAACTGGTTCCAGAAGCGAGCGATGCAGCAGGCCCGTGTGATGCATGGCCACGCCATGATGCTGCAGCAAAACCTGGCTCTCCCTCTTTCTCTTTGTGGTTCAAAACCAAGTCTCTACTCTTGCTTCAGCCCTCTGGCCTCCAACCAGTCAGTCTGGTCGCCACAGTTTTTGCCCTGGTCAGCCTGAACTACCTAACCCTCCTCCCTTAGAGCACCCGAGGAGAGAGCCAGACCCCCAAGGTCGGCCCGGCAAAGCTGTAACTGAGATAGTATGGAAAGTCCCTCTATTACCGGCTGCAAACGCCTCTGGGAACCTCCTGCAAAGGTCTTGGGAGCGCAGTCGGCTGCGGGCGCCGAAGAGTGAGAGGCACCGCGTTCCCGAGTTCCCAAAGAGGGCGTCTGGGACGCGCCCCCCCCCCCTGCGGCTGCGGTGGCGCGCAGACCCCGGTGGAGCGAGGCGACGCGAAGAGAGGTGGCTGCGGGCTTAAGCCATGGCGCAGAGAAAGGGCCGGGCTGTGTGGCCGCAGGGTCCGAGGACCCGGCTCTGTTCTCCTCCCCGCTGGCGTCTGGGCTCAGCTGGCCACCTAGCAGGGCTTGGAAGCGGTAACCTCCAGCGGAGACTGAGCGTTGCCGCCGCCGCCGCTGCCCCTGCGCTCAGTGATGCTGCAGCCGCAGCCGCCGTCGCTTCTGCTGCAGGGAAGCGGCCCCACCCTTTTCTTCCGTTCAGCAGGGGGAAAAAAAATCCAGGAAAGATGCTGGGAGAAAGCGCGCTGCAGAAAAAAATCACCTGCTGTCGTCAGCGCGCACGACTGGGAGCTCGCTCGCTCTCTCTTTCCCCTCCTCCCTCTGTCCCAGCAGCTCCGCCTTCCTCCGCTCACGGGCAACAGCAGGATGTGGGGCCTTGGTGGGTTCAAATCCCAGACTCATGATGACTTGCTGTCCTTGCTCTTGTGGCTCCACCTCCAGGAATCTCAGGCTCCTCTTGTGTAAAATAGGGCCGATCATTGTGTGTGTGTGTGTATGTGTGTGTTACATTAAACAATGTAGAGGAAAACCCTAGTGAAATGCATATCCCATAGGGATGTTTAAAAAGGGAGTTGCTGTTATCGGTCAAAATCGATAGCTGGGTTTGAACCCACTTTGACTGGTTCCTGATCCAAGAGCTTGCCTGTCTTACACACAGGGTCTGCTTCTTTTCTAGGGGACCTCTTGGGTATCTTAGATCTTTCCAAGACCCATCCAGAGGCCACATTAGAGGAAAGGTGGTGAAAAGATGATTCTTGAAAGGGGCCCCAGCAGGAAGGTTGGGAGTGGGAAACAAAGGGAAGGTGCCTTAGGACCGGGTAGGACCTGCCCTGCAGGGTGTTCCTAGCACGTTCCTGCTTCTTGGTTTTGTTCTTTCTCTTCCTGGGAGGTAGCATTGATTTTGGAGTAACATAGACCTGCTTTCTTCTCTGGCTTAGTACCTACTACCATATATGTGTCACTTGGGCAATGTGAGTCATCCTTGGGCCTCTTTGAAGAATGGAAAAAAAAAAAAAAAAAAAAACCTACCTCAAAGTGGCTTTGTGAGAATAGTTAAGGACTCAGAGCAGAAGCTTTCAGTCAAATCAAACCTACAGGGATTCAGATTCTAGCTTTTGGACTCCTTAGGTGTATGGCCATGGACAAATTGCTGCAATTTTCTGACCCTGAATTCCTCATCTGTAAACTGGGGTACCGATTCTCAATTTACACAGTTGTTCTGAGAATAACAATGAGATAATGCATGAAAACTGCTTACCACGATATCTGGCATATAGCAATGGCTCAATAAATAGTAGCTATTATTACTCCATTAAGGACTCCTGGTGGCACAGTGGTTAAAGTGCTTGGCTGCTAACAGAAACGTTGGCAGTTCAAACTCATCATTTGCTCTACAGAAAAAGATGTGGCAGTCTGCTTCCATAAAGATTTCAGCCTTGGAAACTCTTTAGGGCAGTTCTACTCTGTTCAATAAGCTCGTTATGAATCCAAAATGGGTTTATTATGCAACTGGTAATTCAGTGGTAGAATTCTCACCCTCCATGCAAGAGACCTGGGGTTGATTCCCAGCCAGTGCACCTCATACTCAGACATTACCTGTCAGGGATGGCTTGTGTGTTGCTATTATGCTGAGCAGGTTTCAGTGGAGTTTCCAGACTGAGGTGGGCTAGGAAGAAAGGCTTGGTGATCTACTTTTGAAAAATCAGCCAATGAAAATTCAATGGACCCCAGTGGTCTGATCCCCAGCCAATCAGTAGGATGGCCCAGGACCAGGCAGTGTTGCATTTCATTGTGCATGGGGTTGTCATGTGTTAGCAGCACCTAACAACATTAGTATTCCAAAGACCTACCCAGGGGACGCATAGGTAGCACTTCCCAAGCAGGCCACTTGGACACTTTCTCCCAGAATCCCCTTTATTCTTCCAGGTGTCTCTTGGGCTCTCCTTGATGTCTCTCTGTTTATATCTCCTGCACTGTCCTCCATTCCTACCCCCATCTATACCCATTGGCCTTTAGCTTTGTTTCCTTCCAATACAGGCAAATTTTTCAGCATTAATTAAGTGAGAGTGTTGGCATTTCTGGGAGAGAAATTAGTTTATGTGTTTAGATTGGGGCTTGATTGCAAAATACAGTCGCCTTTAAAAAAAAAAAAAAAAAAAAAAACACCCCTCAGAATTAAACAGGATGAGAAGACAGCTCTAATTAGTCAATTATCTGCTGAACTTCCTCCTCCTTGGGTCTTTGTATCTTGGTGATTTGATTTGAGTTCCGTAAATAAAATAATGGCTGGCACTATTTTCCAGTTGTTAGGAGATACATATCTATAAACAATATAATCTTGTCTAACACTTCCTTCTCCTAGGTCTGCAGAACTCCTTGAGATTTGGCTGTCTTTTCAATAATGAATTCCAAAGGTAAAAAGATGGCCTGGAAATGGAAGGGGCAGTGTCTATGGCAAGAGTCACTGAGATTTTACTCTTCTTTCATTTAGCAAATCTAGTCTTCTGATGCCCGCTCTACTCTATGCCCAACCCTTTATTTGGCACTACAGGACACAGATGGATTCTCCTATACCAAACCCTTCCTCAGTTGGAAGGGTTTGGTATGGAAGAGGTGGGATACAAACTTATAAACAAATAATTGCTGATCAGTATGGTCATTATAACAGAGGTTAACTTGAATTGCTGACTAAATGATTAATAGCCTGGAAAACTGAGAACAGGCTTTATGAAAAGGGGACTTTAAAAGTGGCTTTGACAGATGAGTAGATGTTCTCCAGCAGGAGAGATTTAACAGAGTATACCAGGCAACTTCATCATCCACACTATCTTTCACATTTGCTCATTTGGATGTTTAAAGTACATTCAATTGTATGGTTTTCCTGGGCCATCCAATGATCCAATGGGATTGAAAAATCTAAAGGTCATCAGCTGTGCATTGCTTTTAAGAGACATATTTAAAACATAATGATGCATATTGAAAGAAAGTGATAGAAAAAGATGTAATAGGTAAATACAACCAAAAAAAAAAGGTTAGTGCCATGATATTAGTATCAGACAAAGTTTGTCTTAGAACAAAAACCATTATTAGAGATAAAGAGATTCATCAGATAAATATAAAAGCAATAATTCACCAGAAACATATAATGTGGTTTTCATCTAACAATATAATTTCAAAATATATAAAGCAAAACTTGGTAGCATTTAAGAAGAAACACACAAATCCATCATCATCATGAGGTTTTTTTTTTTGGTCACATCTAAGTAACTGATGGGAGCTCTGGTGGTGTAGTGCCTAAGGCATTCGACTGCTAACCAGAAGGCTGGTGGTTCAAACCCACCAGCCACTCCTTGGAAGGAAGGTTGGGCAATCTACTTCCATAGTGATACTGCCTCAGAAACCCAAGGAGGGTCTCTATGAGTCAGATCTGACTCCACGGCAGTGTGTTTTTATTTTTTTGTAAGGAACTAATAAATCAAACACATAAAATGTTGTTAGAGATGTAGAAGATTCGAAGAATCACCAAGTTGCATCTAATGGACCCTGCATCCAACAATTAGATAATACATATTCTTTTCAACCCTACATGAAATATATAAAAACGACCATATACTAGGCCACACACACACAAAATAAGTAAGTACCAAAGAAACAAACAAATCACATTGTTTATAATTTTATAGTGAAATTAGAAATTAATAATACAAGATAACTACAAATCTCAACATATTTAGAAATTAAACAGAAAAAAAACATACTTCTAAATTAATTCATGAGTTTAAAAAGAAATTATAATGGGTATTGGAAAATATTTAGAAAATGAAAATACTACATACCAAAGTGTGTAGATTATAGCTAAAACCAGTATTCATAAGGAAATTAACCTAAATACATATGTAGAAACAAAGAAAGATTTAAAATACTGAAATGATTAGACTTGATAAGTTAGAAAAAAACAGCACAGCCCAAATACAAAGATAGTAGAAGGGAGAGAAAAATAAAGAAAAGAGCAAGGATTAATTAATTAAATATCAATTCATTAAAGATTAATTAATTAAATTAATGTATTAGTCTGTTATTGTAAAAGTCAAGGAAAGGTTTATCTATGGAAGGAAATTTTCTTTGTTGGTTACCAGGGGTTGGAGGGGAGGTTAGGAAACACTGTTAGATAGGTAGAGATAAGTATTGATTTGGGTGAAGAGAAGGGCAATATACCAAATGTGAGTGATCAACATGGTGCTGGCAAACCAGGTTTGTTGGTCTGATAGACATAGAGGAAGACATAGAGAGGTACATGGGAGGTACAGACAACAAAGATGAACCGTTTTGCACATACAGTACATGTGTACAGCAAACATGGGTATGTGGGTGGATAGATGGGTGGCCAGGCTGAACTATTAGATATGTCTATGAAGTGGGGAGTGTACCCAAGACCATGTATAGGGTTGGCAGACAATAGTCCCATAAGTGTATTTGTATGATCTGTAAGAATTCCCAGGTGTTTAGTAGAGCTGACCAGGGACAAGGTTGTA